CCATACTGGTCATTAATTGGTTCCAGGAGGCACAACGAATACCAAACAGATTGTTTTCTTTTTTGGTTTCTTTTTTTTGAAACAGGGTCTCATCGTGTAGTTCATACTGGCCTTGAACTCACTATGCAGCCCAGGCTGGCCTTGAACATGCAGCGATCCTCCTGCCTCAGCCTCCTACTGAGTGCTAGGGTAAAGTGCATCACCACGCCCGGCCCAAACAAACTGTTCGTACGGAGCTGTTCACAGCAGCATCATGTGCAGTAGGAAAAAAAACTGCAAACAACCCAAAGTCCACCTGGAGTCAACAAATAAGTTGAGGCACATTCATGAAACAGGATATGCACTGCTAACACTTAGGGTCTGTGTGATCTCAAGAAAATTACTTAATCTCTCTGCACTTTGGTAGGGATAATGCCAGAACCCACTTCATATGCTGACACAAAGAACATGACCATTATTCAAGTAGCTTCTAAAAGGTAAAAATTACAAAAAAAGAATTTTCTAAGCCAGGTACAGTGGCACACGTCTGTAATCTCAGCACTGGAGAGGCTGAGACAGGAAGAGTGCCGTGAGTTCAAGGCCAGCCTGAACTAGATAGCGAGACCCTTTAAAAAAAAAACACACAAAATAAAAAACAAAAAAACCTTCTAACAGTGCCTGGGAACACAGGAAGGTCTCTCTATAAAATGTTGATGTTCATAAGGTTCCTCAGCTTGGAGAGACCCTCCTGACACTTGATCAACACTACACTCTCTCCACTCCCATTCAAGCAATGTTGTCCCTGCTCATCTCTTTCACCTTATTCCTCCCATCTTGACCGCACCCTACCTATTCCTGTAACACTCCAAGCTGCTTCCTGCCTCAGTACCTTTGGACATACACTGCCTCCACTTAGTATGATCTTCTTGCCTTCTCTGTCTGCTGAACACCTACTTCCTTTGTCTGAACCCAGCTCAGAGCCCCTTCCCCTGCTCCACTCTGCTCTCTAGGCATTCGGAGCCCTCTGGACTTCAGTTTGCATTTTGACATTCTGGTTGCTGTCTCCTCCCACTAAACTGTGGTGTCCTTAGAGGAGCCTCTCTCCTTATTCAACAAATTATAATAAAGTCCCGTATATATTCAAACCTCTTAGGCAGGCCTTTGGCAGCATGGCTAAGGGTACAGACTCTGGAGTCAGATAGTTCTGGGGTCCCAATCCTGGCTCCACTTCTTACTTGCCAGGTGATCCTGAGTAAAGCCCTAATCTCTGAATGTCAGTTTTCCTAAACAGTAAAATGGGAGTATTATCACTGACTTGTCATGCTCTTACAAGGATCAAATGAGGTGACATATGAGAAGCTCCTGGCATACAGTAAGAACTCTAATAAAAAGAGCTTCCTTTTTCGCTCTGGTTCTGGGGATCGAACCCAAGGCCTCATGCATGCTACACACACACACACACAGAGGCTCTGCCACAGGGCTACACCCCTAGCCCAAAGAGCTATTCTTCTTCAGCCCAACCCCTGGAAAGCCTGGCTCCTGCCTCATGTAGCTCCTGATACCATGCATCTGCAGACAGCACACCTCGGGCCAAAGGAGATGAGCACCTCCCTGATCGCAATGGGCAGGCTGAGGTCAGAACAGGGGGCACTGACAGAGCTGCTCTCCCCACCCTCCTACATCATCCACAGAGCAGCTCCCAACCTGCCTGGCCACTCCAGGGCTGAGGACAGAAAAGAAAGATTCCCTGACTCCTGTCCTATATCCCTTACAAGAGTTTCAATTTCAAGCCAGAAGAATTCAATACAACCAAGATCTCTTATAGACCCCAGTAATACAGGGGAATATAGAGCCCACTGGATGCTCCCCATTTCACAGAGGAACCACCTAGGAGTCAGAAAGCAACATCTCTCACTGAACTCATCTGCCTGCCCCTGCTTCCAGCCACGCTGCTTGCAGGGAAATGCACTGTGGCCCTACAAGGAACTCTAGGCCAGTTTGGCACAGTGCCCACGCCTGCCCACACCCACTCAGCCTTGTCCTCAACCACCCACCCGCCCGTCCCTGTCACAGCTCAGCCTCAATTCTTCTCCCCACAGCTGGCACTGGTCACCATGGCAACGGGCTGTTTGGGAAGCTGTGGGTGACAGGCTGTGCCGCAGAGCCAAGGATGAGGCCGGGAGGACAGAACGACTGCGGGCTGCTTCAGGTCAAGGCAGGCAGGACTTGGCTCCTTCACCACACCTCAACACCCCCGCCGCACAATGTTTCAGACCCAGAATCCCAATTCTGGACCTCTGGTCCAAATAAAACACCTGCAGTGGGGAGAAACCAGATGTATCAGGATGTCTGCCCCAGCATCACTCACAGCAGGACAAAATCACACGTGTCCACAACAGGTAACACATCATGGCATCTTCCTTGTACCACACACTGCGCTAAATGCCAAACGTGTCATCTCGTTTCGTCCTCAGCATCACGCCATGAGGGAAGGAGCTAGAATCCCCACATTTTGCAGATGAGGGAATTATGCCTGGAAAGGTGAAGACACTTGCCTAGGTCATTAGCTAGTGGCAAAGCCAGGACCAGATGCCAGTCCATCCACCTCGGGGCCTCTGCTCTCTACACTACAGTGGCTGGAAAATAAAGAAGAAGCCGCGGCCCATCCTCTCCTCCTGACAGCACCTGTGGCTGTGACACATATGTCTATGGGCAACCATGACACAGGGTTCAGGAAAGGCAAGAACTCAGTAGAACAACGTGCACCAGCTTGGAAAGATCCTGAAACACTAGAGAGCCTCAAAAACAAAGTACAGGCCCCAGAACAACAGGCCACAGTGTAAGCCTGTTCGTGTAAAAAAGGCTCAGCGTGCAGATGTTTGTGTCTGTGCAGAAGCTCATAACAAGGGCACTGGAAGGACATAAGCCACGAGCAGCAGTTATCTCCAGGCGAAAGGCAACACGCCCAGGAGGCACTCAAAGGGTCTTTCTCACTCTCCGGTGATAAAAAATTAATTATGAGCAAAGCATAGGGATGCACACCTGTAAACCCAGCACTCTGGGTAGCTGAGGCAGGAAGATCACAGGTTTCAAGCTCAGCTGGGCACCCTAGCAAGATCCTGGCTAAAAATAAAAAATGACACATGTAAGGGTGATCTGGCTTGATGACATCTTTCACCCCAATGATCGCCAAGGTTGATTCGGCCGACCTGGCTGGCTAGGCGGGCGTCCCCTTCCTCCGACACGGCTCCGTGTGCGTCCTTCCTGAAGCCGTGCATTCTGTGCAAGAGGACAACCTTCCCTGATAGCTGAGCACCATTTCCTCAGTGAAAGACATACAAGGAGCTGCCCTCCTCCGCTAGATCCTCCAAACAAGTTCTCAAAATAAAAAATTAGAAAGAGATGGGGATATAGCTCAGAGCAAAGACCCTGGGTTCGATCCCCAGTACCACCAAAAAAAATGTTTTTAATTTTTTAAAAGAGCAATTATAAAACTTGATACATATGCTCCTGATTCCAGGTTTCAGCTGGGTTTTTTTTTTTGTTTTTTGTATCAGGGATCGAACCCAGGACCTTAAGCTTGCCAGGCAAGCACAGTGCCACTGAGCTACATCCCCAGCCTCTAGGTTTAAAAAAATATACATACACTCAGGAAAAAGATGGAAGAAGGAACCTATACCAAAATGTCTACAAGAGGGCTGGAGATGTAGCTCAGGGGTACTGCACCTGCCTTGCAAGTGCAAGGTCCTGAGTTCGATCCCCGGTACCCGGGGGTGGGGGTGTCCACAGGATTTAGTGCTGAATGGTGGCATTATGGGGATGTTTATCTCGTCCTTATCTTCTATGATGTATGCATGTGACTTTTTAAAGATCAATACTTCTGAACAACGTTTACAAAGACAATGCAACAGCATTCCTATATAACTAGTAAAAATAGCGATAAGCACACAGGAACCTCTTTGGCGCCTATCCCAATTCCACCCACCGGCTCACTAGCCTTCACCAGTCCTTTCACTTCTTGGAGCCTCAGCGTCCACCCCAGGGAAATGGGTACATTACCAACAGCGCCTACCTCCTAGAGCCGTTCGTTACAGAGTCTGAAGCCAAGACACTCAGCATAGTGCCAGCGTGTGGGAGGCAGGCTAGATGCTCTCTCTACCGTGCGGGTGAGGCGAAAGATGTATTGTGCAGCACAGGAAGTCTCAACACACGGCCTGGGTTTGTGGGCTGGTTTGTGTGGTTTAGAGCACTTGTCAGCCTTGTGAACTTGGATCTGTTTCCTTACCTCCTTGGGCTTCACATGAGGATTACACCCAAAACATCTGGCATATAATGCACATTCTACAGACGTGAAAAAAAATTCAATTGTGTGGAAAATACTAACAACACTCTGCGCCATCCTCCACTTTTGGTGCACAAACATGTTAGATGTGATTAACAAAGTTATTCACATCCTAAGTAAAAGAGCAAGAGAAAGGGAAGCAGCAGGGATAGGGAACATGCTGGGCACTCTTTCTGAAGCTGGGCGAGCCGGGAGAAGCTTATTAACTTCACTGAGCCTCAGTTTCCCCTTTTAAATTAACGGCTCACACTAAAGGAGAGCAAATTTAATATAAGTTAAGCAACACACCTTGTGCCTTATGCCATTCTAGGCACATTACTTTACACCATAACCTCAGTTACCCCTCCAAATAGCCCCATTAAACTGGCATTAGTATTTCCTTTTTTACAGATGAGAAAACTTTTAAGAGGTTAAAAAATATCCCAGGATATTCAGCTAGGAAGTGGGCAGAGAGACAAAATTTGAACCCAGGACTCACTGGCTCCAAAACCTCAAAAGAATTCAGTAAATGTTTATTTTCTCTTTCCTGTCTTGGTAGGCATCATTTTACATAAAATAAGCATGAGAGACGATGTTCATCAAGGGTCCATCTAGTTTAGCTCTATTACGTTCCACCACCAAGCAGAGTCAAGATTGGTGGCCTGGCTCTTTTTGTCCCAAACTCTTGGACTCAACTTACCCATCTAGGGCAGGCTTCCGGGCTGGCTTCCACTGGCTCCCCCAGGCAGGGGCCGTCTGAACTTCCCCCTGTGGGCTGCTCTTGGGCACAAGATGCCGGCTTCCTCCTTAGCTTCTTAGCACACTTGTCTCTTTTCTGCCACACAAATGGGCCTGTGCAGGCCTTGCTGGCAGTGGCCTCCAGGGAGGAAGTGAGTCTGCCTAAGGGCTCTAGGGAGCAGGAATGGGTGTCAGAGGGCGCAGCAAGTCCCCCCCCCCCCCCCGTTCTCCCTGGACGCCAGCTGGGCCTTGACCTCTGGCCCAGGCTGGCCATGTGGAGCAGCAGGGCCTTCCTCACTGCCAGCCCCCACCACATGCTCCACTTCCTGTTGCTCTGCAGAAACCCATCCTGGCACTCCCAGGCGCAGGGCAGTGAACTGATAGGTGTCCTGTGCGGCTGGCCTGTGGGACTCTTCCCAGAGCCGGCCAGGCCTGAGGGGGCTGCCTGTCCGGGCAGCAGGCAAGTGTTCAAACCCCGCAACCCCTGAGGCAAATCCTGCCTGGATCTCACCTGGATCTCCTGGCCTTGTGTCCTCCTGACACAGACGGCTGCAGGGGCCTCCCAAGGATGCCAGGTTGGTGCCTTCAAGGGGGCTGTCCACACCAGGGCTCTGCTCAAGCCACGAGACATCGCCAGTCCCCTGCTCTCCCCTACAACAGGACTCAGACTTCCTGCTTTTTCTTCTTGTCCTCGTAGGGGCTGGGCCTCGTGAGGTTGGCAGGGCCCATCCAGGGAACCCTTCTTCATTGAGCGTGGAGCTTCCTCGCTTGCCACCTGGAGCACTGATCCCTTGGTCTCCCATCTCTCTGGGGCTGGAACAGCTGGTCAGTTCCACTTCTGCTGGCCACTCCACGCCCGCCTGTGCTCTCTTTGGGAGACCAGGCAGAGTGTTACAAAGATTCCTGAGGCACCTGCTAGTTAGGATATCACACAGAGAGACTTGGAGCCTCTTAGAGCATCCAGTGCTCCCCTGTGGAGGCCCTGGGGGCAGCCGCTGGCTGGGACCCTGACCCACAGCCTGCAGCTCTACCCGCCTCTGGCTGGCGACAGCAGCAGCCCCAGCCTGCAGGCTGACATCTGGATGGGACTTGCCCCTGTGGACGCTCTTCCAGCGCAGAGCCCGACCCTGGGCCTCTGAGTCCATGCCTGGCATGGAGCCGGCTCCTACCATGACCTCCTGGAAAAGTCCGCATCTGTGTCGGGAAAGGAAAACAGGGTCTTCTGTGCTGGAGCTCCCTGAATCCTCCTCCTGGAACATGTCTCCACCGCCAGGGCCAAAAGCAGAACGCAGACCTGTGTAGAGGCAGACACGAGGCCTCATCATGAAAGGCCAGAGCAGCCAGCCCACCTAGGGCACCAGTGGTACCCGATTGCCCAGGGGGAGGGGAGAGGCCCACCTCCAACCAGACTGGCTTCAGTGGCCTGTAAGGTCTTCCCTGAGGGCTGACACTTCTGTTTAAATGGGAGGTAACACTTACTATTACCTACAGGTTTGTATACATTCTTTCATTTCATACCAGCGGATTCAAAGATGTCAAGTGACGCACCCAAGGACACACACGGAGGGGAGAACCAGGGCTTTCTCCCAAACCAAAAGCCCGGCTCTAAATCACTCTATGTGGAGCAAGCACAAAATATGTTCATGTCCTTCATTCCACTCTGACGGACACCTCACCCAAGGAAGCTAGGCCTGACCGCAGCCTTCCCCACCTGCGCCTCCACCGCCCTCCAGCGCAAGGACCCAGCAAAGCGTGGCATAGTCACGTGACGCGAAGAGGCGGGGCCTCAGTGAGGAGGGGCGGAGTCCCTGGGGCTGCGCAAAGGGCCGTTCCCCTGGGGGGCTAACTTTCCGCTCCCGGCAGAGGGCGCTCTAGCCATCTCGAGGGCTTCCCGGAGGAGGTGCCAATCAGTCGGGAATCTGGTCGTCGCTGGCAAGGGACCTTGAATGCCGGTCTGAGAGGTTAACCTGGACCTTTGGGGGTGGTGGGTTGGAACTGCCTGAGCCCCTAGGGTGATGTCATAATCAGACCTAGATTTTTTTTTGTCCAATTTTTTAAAATATTATTTTTAGCTCAAATATAATTCATGTGGATGGAAATACACATTCAAACCTAATTAGAAAGGTTAGGAATAAAAAATTTAAAATTTCCTCTCATTTCCCAACCCTCCGACTCTGGGGAACAACTGTTTTTTGACCGTGTCCTTTATCCTGTTAGTTTGCTTGATTTCATAACTGTGACTACTGTACTCACACTTGTTTGGCTTTTACTTTTTAACAGTATCAACTTAAGAGATGATTTTAGCAACCACTCTTTCCCCCTTTCTCTTTCCAGTCTTTCTCTTTTTTATATCTGTATTTTTGGTTTTTCAGTGGTTACTGCTATCGTTTAGAATAATCTTATGCGTCTCTTCTTTATCTTGATCTGTTGATTCTCCCAGGTATGAAATAAATAATTTCCATTGTTATCCTCTCCTCACTCCTGCCTTCTTCCGCCAACTTTGACTTTTGCATTGGCAAGGTTTATAGCATTTTTTTCTATCCTGTTAATTCAGGTTGCCATAGTTGCCCTGTAGGTTGATTCCTAACACTAAAAACCAAATAACTTGCACAACATTAGTATTCTGGGAACGTTTTCACAGTGGACCCGGGGACTTGCCTGGCCTGAGGGGGGTAGGAACAGAATTCTCAGCAGTCACCCTGCGCGTGTGAGGCCATGAGAATCCCACAGGTCCATGGAATAGTGCACTGCTGTTAGCCTGGATGGATCTCAATTTAACGTCAATATATTTTAAAGCAAGATAATATGAACAAGGGAAACAGTGTAGAGTGTATGGAAGCTTTTCCCATTCATCTTCACATTTTTTTCCCGGTAAACGTAAGAGCCATTCTAAAAAATAGAGTTTATTACAGAATAAAAAGGATGCTGTTGGATGATCCATGCTGGAAATTGTCATGATCTGGCTGTCAGGATCACAAATGAGGAAAGAGTTGAGATTTGACTGTAATTACTCCTCAATGTTTTAGTGAGATCACCCACTATGGGATGTCCTGGTTCCAGAGCAGAGACCTGACTCCGTGAAAGCTCAGTGAACTGAGCCATTCTGGTCCATTTGGACCATGGAATCCCCCACACCTGGGAAAGAAAGGGGGAGTGTTATTACTGTCACTTTGCCTGGTGTGGATATAAAAGGACAGTAATAGCTAATATTTTACAAGGTGCTGCTTTGGGCCAGGGACTGTTCTAAATGCTTTCCCTATATTCGCCTATATTCATTTACCTGCTTTAATTATCACACCATGTCTATTTATTATACCATTACTTCATCATTATCCTTATCTTACAGATGAGAAAATTGGCACAGAGAAATTAAATAACTTGTCTAAGGTTAGTGAGTATTGGCTTTGGAACCCAGCCAAGGGGCTGGGGATGTAGCTCAGTGGTAGAACATTTTGTCCAGCAAGGACCTGGGTTCAACCACCAGCACCATAAGAAAACCTAGAACCCAGCCAATCCTTCTGACCAGTCTCTCTGTCTCCTGATACAGTACTCTAAATCTTGTGGCCATAAAAGTATAATCAAGGGGTTAGCCCAGGTTTTAGCCCACTGCCATTCACACAGTTATCAGCTATTTGTTCTTTTTTGTTAATTAAATTTTTTTTTTTTTGGTATCAAGAATGTCAGCTATTTGTTCCGATGACTCATGACAGCATCTGTGCTGCATACCTAGGTTCCAAGCATGGTGGTGCACACCTGTAATCCAAGCAATGGAGAGGCTGAGGCAGGAGGGTCACACATTCGAAGTCAGCTGGGCTACATAGAGTTCCAGGCCAGCCTGACTACAGAGTGAGATCCCTGTCTCAAAATACACACACACACACACACACACACTACTGTATCAAAATCATATGCTCCCTTGTAATTCCTAGCACTATTCACTTATGCATGCTGTCTCTGTTTCTCTTGGTCACTCTGTTGAGGGTTTTTGTTTGCCTGCTTGCTTGCTTGTTTATCTCTTTTATTGTTGCCTTTGCTTTTTTTGTTGTTTTTCTTTTTTATCTTTTATTGTTCCCCTTACATTTTCTATTTCATTATCTTCAGTTCTTACCTTCCTCGTTTACTTCTTGCACTTCTTTTGGTTTACTCTTGTTATTTTAATTCCTCACCTGAACGAAATACCAGCTTGTTTAGAAAACTCTTTCTCATTTATAATTAATTCACTTAATGCTACACATTCTTCTCTAAGCACTTCTTCAACTATCCGATAAGCCTTGAAAAATAATGGAGATGCTCTTAGTGTCATTCAACTATAAATATTTTATAATTTTCAACCTAATTTACTTTATAATCCACGGATAATTTAGAGGTTTATGTGTGTTTAACTTTCAGAGAAATTTTCTAGTTTAAATTTAAAATGTAATAATGATCAGATAAAAAGGATCTATATAATGTTGATTTTTAAGAAGGATGTAAGATTTTTCAGAAGTATTTGTGTGACTCGATACATTGTCAGTCATTGTTACTGTTTGTTGCACGCTTGGAAAATAATGTGAACTATCAGTCTCAGGTTGTAAGCTTTTCTTTCTTCCTCTCTATATTAACTTGAGCTTTTTTTTTTTCTGGTATCAGGGTTTGAACTCGGGTCCTTGTGCTTGCAAGGAAGGACACCTAACCACTGAGCTAAATCCCGGCCTTAACTTGAGCTTTTAAGTCATGTTTTTCAAATCTGCAGTAATCAACAGTAACTTGAATCTATAGTGATCAGTGTTCAATACAGAATATAGAAACAACGCCGGGTTTCTTAGCAGAGTGGAGTTTAATAGAGGGCATTGTGTTTTTCCCAAAGCCTGAGTGAACCCTGAGGTGCAGAAGTGAACTCTAGGCTGGGCCTGCAGAAGCTGCTGCTAAGATTATGCTTCACATACACAGTGGCGGTGACAAGACAGGGGTCCAGATGTGCACCATTAGTCAACCCACAACCCCGGGGACCAGACCATGATGCTAAAAATTGGACACCCTGGATTGTCCTTGGGAGCATTCACAACCCAAGGAATGAAACAGCGGTCTCCCGCACATCTCATCTGCTCTACAGATCTCGGCCGGGGGCACTAAGTGGGGAAAGCGAATCCGCAGTGACAACCTCACTTCTATGGGAACCTGGGAAACAGCTTCCCTTCCCCTCCTCCGAAGTGCAGGAGGCCCTGGAGTATGGCGAATGGATGTGAGAGAGATGCTTTTCTCTAGTCTCTCCAGGTATTGTAAACTCTTTTCCATCCACTTGAACTATCAGTTCTCAGTGGTGTGTTTTTACTCTTGTCATCACTCTATTTATTAATACATACATCACAAGTGTTCACAATGCCAATGCTTTTGGTTGGCTTGCTAGACAGAGGCATTATTTTTGAAGGTCTCTAAAAAATATTTGAACTTTTTCCCCAATTCACACTCATTTTTAAATTGATCTAATGAGGTCTTCAAGTCTGTAACGTTAATGCTGCATGCGCGTGCACGCGCGCGCGCGCGCGCACACACACACACACACACACACACACACAAATACAGAAAGAAGAAATAAAATAACAGCAGCAGTTAACTAGAGGAAACCAAAAGTAATATCACTGCCTTCGTGGCCAATGCAGGTTTGTGACAGAGTTATACAGGGTTCATCTGAGAAGCAGAGATGCACCAGACCCTCTCTGTATAACCCGGATACAGAACAGTAATGAGAAAGGAGGCCTCCTAACCCTCAACCGTTTCCATCATGTGTGATGTGTGCTTTTATCCCTCATGAACAATCACTGATATATTTTTTTACGTGTCCCTGGCTGCCTAAACAAGGTAAGAGAGAGCCTTTGAAGAAGAGAAAACCAAGGCAAATGCAATTAGGCCAAAAGAAATGTAAGTATCTTTCACCTAGCTATGTAAAGGTGTGAGGCATTTATCCACCACAAGGAGGGGCAAACAGGAGGACGCCATACCACACGCAGAGCACAGGGCCAGGGATGTTGTGAGAACCTGTCACCTACTTGAGCTGCAGTTGGACCCAGGACACTGCAGGAGCTGGCACACACACACAGCCCTGGGGCACCTGGCTACCCTCTGGCACAATATTCCTTCCCAAGATGGCACAGGGTGCGGGCTGAAAGGTGGAGCGGAGACTGGGTAGAGTGTGAGTTTCGTGCCATGGGGGGGTGGGCCCTGGGAGCAGGGCTTTTATGCACTGTGCTCGCACATTCTTCAGAAGTCTTTCAGAGAGTGCTGTGGCTCCTTGCCAAGACAGGTCTCTTTTCCATTATTCTTGAAAGACTTCTCCTTACGCCACCGATTCCCATATTTCTCTCCCTGAATCTGGACCCTTCTAGTTAACCTTGGTGGCAGTCATGGTCAGATTGTACAGATTCTGGGCATTCTAATGGGTTTTGTGCGGGGCAGTGAGTGCCGCGTGCTCTGGGAAGTAGGGGCTGGTGCTCCAGTTGGTGTAGTTCAGCTCAGGCTGCTCACATGTGGCCCACCGCTGGCTCGTTGCCCTTGTAGTTCTGTGTGGCATCCATGTAAGTCCTCAGCGAGGTGCCCTTGATCTCGTGATGGAACACAAGCCTTGAAATGCCAGCTTTGAGCTCAGCCAGGGACTCCAGGGATAGAAATGCTGCATACAGTTTCAGCTACCATGGCACATAG